CCGATCTGTTTGTTTTTCATAGGGTCTGTCTGAATCCCAGTCCACTCGATGACATAAAAACGGGAACAGAATTTCAGGCCTTAACCTGGGGATACTGGATCAATATCTGTAGTTCAACAAGATCTGTAAGTGATAAATTGCTGCAATGAAAGTTAAGAATTTTTTTTGTTAGAAATTTCCACATTGGCTTATTACATTTTTAAAACAGTGTCCTGTTGCCTCTTGATCAGTGATGGTGAATCCTGATTGTGCATTAGAATCACCCAGGGAGGTTTTTGCTTTTTGTTTTTCAAAGTAATACTTATTTTTCCAAAATGATATTTTTATAGAGGTTTTTAGGGAATGTACTCAGAAAATTTTAAAAAAGAAAAATAGGGAGGAAAAATCCCACTCATCTATATGAGTCTCACCTTCAGATATTTTAATAGGTTAAAGATGAAAACATTCGCCCAGTGATTTGAATGATGAGTGATGAGTGAATATTCGCTTTCCCAAGAGTTATTCTTTCCACATTTATTGTTTAGAATCATCTGTAGCAAAGAACATCATAACAATTTGGTGGTTATCTTGGTATATGATTCTTAGGGCATTCTACTCATTTTCAGAGTACCATATTGATGCCCTACTTCTCTCTAAAGAGAGCCCTGGTGGCCTAGTGGTAAAAAGCTTCACTCCAGTGTTGTTGTTGTTGTCGTTGTTGTGTGCCATTATGTACAACAGCCCTGTTGACTCTAGATCGGTGATGTTGAGCCCTGGTTGTGCATTGCTCTATCCCTTGCCAATCTTGTTGTCTCTGATACACCTACCCCCATTTCCCCAGTGACTGAATTAATCCATCTCATTGAGGGTCTTCTTCTCCTGTGTTGTCCCTCCACCTCCCAAGCATGAGTCGCTCTCCAAGGATTGGTCCCTCCTTGGAACATGTCCAAAGTATGTGAGATGAAGCTTCAGAATCCTTGCCTCCAAGGAGCAGCCTGCCTGCCTTCACCCTCTCCCAAAGGTTAAAATCCTCCAGCTACTCTGCAGGAGAAGGATGGAAGTCTTCTCCCTTGCAATTTACTGCCTCCAAAAACTTGCTGGAAGGTTAGCAATGGATTGGTTCTGGCTCACTGGTGCACAACAATAACTGCTTTCTAATGAATTCTGTTCTTGTTAGGTGCCGTTTCGTCGAGCATAACTCGTAGTGATCCTATGAACAACAGATCCAAACCCTGCCCTGTCCTCTGCCATCCTCACAATTTCTGACACACTCAAGCCCATTGCTTGCAGTCACTGTGCCAATCCACCTGGTTAAAGATCTTCCTGTCCTTCACTGTCCCTCTGCATTTCCAAACATAGTGTCCCTCTCCAAGTTATAACCTCCTAGCAGCATGCCCAGAGTATGTGAGACGAATGACTTTTAGTAATTTGAAAGCTTTGTTCTTTCTTTTTTAGCTAAAGTCTTTTTTAAATTTTTATCTTTTATTGCTTTACTTACAAAGTTTGTATACATTGTGTTTTACACTATCTTTCATTCACATTGTTTTTTAGAAAATCATTCCCATTCGTTATGTCTCTATCTCTGTGTTGGTCAAGTTCAGTCAAGGCCCTGCTACTAAAAGGAGTAACTAAACTACCTTGTCTCTGTTACTCTGTTGTTGTGTACCATCAAGTTGGAAGCGACCCATAGCTGGCCTTTAGTAGGTTTTCAGAGGTAATAAATCGCAGTTGATTACCCATCTTTTCTCCCGCAGAGCAGGGGATGGATCCGAACTGCGTGCCTTTGTGTTGGCAGCACAATTCCTCACCACTAAACCACCAGAGCTCCCTATTACTCCAGTAAAGATCAAAATGACAGGGCTTGGATTTTCAACTGTACTTAATTCACTTGCCTAAGAGTATAGCAGAGTGGTAATTTACTATCTCCATATTCCTCAAAAAATAAAGAAAATATATTTTAAAAACCCAACCAAAAATCAAAAACATATTCAGCAACAGCAAAGAAAAACAGTAGCGCTGTTATCTCTTATCTCTTATTTCAGAGAAAAGACAATTACCCATAAAAAATTGTCATTGGAATTTTAAACACAAAATTCTAAAAACATTACCTTAACTTTTCATTAGTCAGAAATTCTTTTTGAACAAATGTGTAAAGACTTTTGTGGCACTTCAGCTCCTCTTGCTGCTTTATGAGGTATAATACTTTGTCACACACCCCTCACCAGAATACATAGGAGAGTGTTAAATTACTTATTGGTTAAGATCTACAAATGACATTTCTTCGTAGATGCACATTTGTACATAGTGCTTGTGAGCCACTTATGACATTAAAGTTGAGTTTTCCCATGGCGTTTGCTAGAAAGGGAATATGTGAAGGGGGTGGGGTGAAGCTAGTGAAAACATTCAAAATAATGGTTATTGTTATGTACCTTTGAGTCAGAGCTGACTCATAGCAGACCCTCTGGTGGGTTTTCAGAGGTACTTAATTGCATGAGAGGAGATTACCCATTCTTCTCCTGCAGAGTAGACAGTGGCCTCTAATTGCATGCCTTTGGGATTACAGTGCAGCTCCTTGCCAGTCGGCCACCAGAGCTCCCTAAATTAATGGTCTGTTTTCAGTTGTTGTTATGTGTCGTCAGTTGCCAGCGACTCATAATGAATCTGTACAACAGCCCTAAGCCCTACTCTATCCCTTGCCAATCTTATTTTCTCTGACACTCCTATTCTCCATTACCCCAGTGACTAAATCAATCCATCTCATCGAGTGTCTTCCTCTCCTTCACTGTCCCTCCACCTTCCAAAGCATGATGTCTCTCTCCAAGGACCAGTCCTGCCTTGCAACATGTCTGAAGTATGTCAGACAGAGCTTCAGAATCCTTGTGTCCAAGGAGCAACCTGGTTTCATCCTCTTTAGGATGAACTTGTTTGTTCTCCTAGTAGTCCATGGTATATTCAATACTCTTCTTCAGCACCGCAGCTCAAAGGCATCAACTCTCCTTCGATCATCCCTAGTCATTGTCCAGCTCTCTGAAGCATAGCAAAGACCATGGCCTGTATCAGGCGCACCTTAGTCTCTAGACTGACATCGTTGCTCCTCAGTACCTTGGAGAGGTCTCTGACAGCAGACTTTCCCAATGCAATTTGTCTTTTAATTTCCTGCCTGTTGGTACCAAGAGTGTTGATTGTAGAGCCAAACAAACTGAAGCTCTCAAAAATTTCGATCTTTTCATCATCCATTATGATGCTGCCAACTGGTTCAGTGGTGAGAATCTTTGTTTTCTTGATGTTGAGCTTCAATCCATATGCAGTCCTTGACCCTCTGCAGCTAGTGCTTCAGGTCCTCTTCAGTTTCAGCAAGCAGGGTTGTGTCATCTGCATAGCACAGATTGTTGATGAGTCTACCTCCAATCCTGATGCCACACTTCTCATAGAGCCCAGCTTCCCAGATAATCTGTTCTGCTTATATATTGAAAAGATATAGAGATAGGACACATCCTTGATGCACACTCATCCCAGTTTTGAACCATAGAGTTTTTCCTTGCTCTGTTCTAATGACTGCCTCCTGATCCAAGTATGCGTTTTGCATAATCACAAGTGTCCTGGGATTCTCATTATTCTCAGAGTTAGCCACAGTTTGTTATGATCCGCACAGTCAAATGCCTTTGCATAGTCAATGAAACACAGATAGACAGCCCTCTGGTACTCTCTGCTTTCAGCCAAGCTTCATCTGACATTAGCTATAATATCCCTAGTGCTATGGCCTCTTCTAAATAATGATAGTGATAATTTAATCTTTAGTCAGAGATCCTCATTTCTACCTTCTACAATTTTTTATCAATCTTAAAAGTTTTCCTTACATCACTCTGTAAAGCTTTATAGTTTTGCTTTTTAAAAAAGTAGAAAGGAAAAAAAGATGTTAATCCCTTTGACATAGAGGAGATCCTAAATCAGAACAACCCTGACAGGATTGCCTGATGGGATTGCTAAGGCTGAAATTTTGACCAAGGTGGGCATTGGCTACATCTTTCTCCTGTAACACATCTTTCTATTAGCAGCTGATCTCACATACCACAGGCCCATGAGAGTGAGTATATAGCACTTCCCTGCGTCTGATTTTGATGGCTTAAAATCTGCTTACTAGAAAGCCATTGACTCCTGTTTGAGGAGCTAGGTTGCCAGGATGGCCCTTTATAAGGAAGTAAGAACTTTGCAAAGAAAATTATGCACTCATATGCTTTTTCTTTACCAATCCAAATGTTGATTATTTAGACATGTTAGTAACAATGACCACTTTGTTGGTAAAGTTGAAATTTTGTGAAAAAACTAATTCTTTACAAAACTCTAATTAGTTAAAGTCCTACAAAAATGAAAAAAGTCTGTGAATTTTCAGAATGGCTTCATTTTTGTATATTATTTTGTTCAATGCATTTGTCACTTGTTGAATTATTTTATATTTATTATTAATGTTTATCTAAGAGTTACAGTTATGTCCTGATTTTTTCATTTAAAATAGCTCTCTAAAACAGTTTTGAAAATTTACTTACTATTCTTTTTTTACTGAGTTCATTATTTTTCTAGGATGTTTTTTGAATTTTTGAACCTAGAAAATTATACTGTGAAATTTTTACTTTTTTTTATCAAGTATCAAGTTTTATTAATAATTTCAAAAACAGAAACAATCTTTAATTTTTCATTTCATCTGATAATCTGTACCTTTATACTGTTATCATCATTTTTAAGTTAAGTTGTAAAAAGAGCAGGAGATTTTTTATTTTTGTTTGCTTTTTTTTCCCCCTCGCCAGACAGTGATGTACTTTACTTTAGGAGTATATCTCTGGAAAACAGAAAGGCTACATTTCACAAGTAGTCAGCAAAGAAAAAATTCAAATGACACATTATAGAAGACAAAGCAGAGTACTTAAGAAAAGATTAATTTGGGGGACCTAGATTGATAACATTCGGTTCCTCGGCCATTGCCGAACAGTAAAAACAAAAAGCACTCACCATCTTAATATTCACAGGACTGTGCTAAAGAATAATGATTTAAGATCAAGACAAGAGTTAACTGCCCACCTCACCAACCAGTGGCCTTCCCCAGGAGCTCTGGATGTCAATGCTGTTGCCTTGGATACGTTGCTTTACCGAAAACACAATAAACAGTGGTATGAGTAAGTGTAATACTTTTTTTCTCCAAACTAATTGCAAATTTAATACCAAAATCATAACAGTAGTCCCTTCAATGTATCATTTTCTTTTTCTCAATTCAGTGCTGGTGTGAGGTTGAGGTAGGATTTAGGTGTCTTTTGCCTTGATAAGGTTAGGTTAAGGAAGTGACCTGTTGGTCTTAGTGCTTTAGAGCTGAGCCACTCTGGGAAGGTCCAGCAGCTGAGGATTTTTATACAGCCATCACTGGGTCGCAGCTACTGAGTTCTCGCTATCATTTAGTCAGTTTTCCGTTGACTGAGTCTAGGTTTATTGAGTTACCTGAATTTTAAATTTAACCTTTGATGTTGTATTTGCCTTAGGATTAATTTGCCTCCTAGTAAGAAAACAAAATTGTATCTTATGAAAGGATAGAAAGCTGTTTACTTGTTTTTCTTGAATCTGGAAAGAGTTTCTTGCATTTTTAGTAAATGTAAGTTTTAGAAGCCATACAAGCTTCAGGCATTCCACCTGTGGAACAGGTAGATTCTTTTTTTATTTTCCTGTTCTCATGTTGGGCCTAGTTCATTTAGTCATGCTATGCTACTTCTGAGACAGCTACACAATGTTAGGCCGTGTTGTTTTAGGCAATTATCAGTCACTTTAACATCTTAGCTGTTTTTTAGTATCTTTTTTATTTCTCTTCTATTCATTTTCTTGTTTTTGGACTCTCTCTGCCATTCTGTTTTGTTCTCTTTTTTTCCTCTATTCTCTTTCCTTTTCCTTCTTCTTTTTATCTTTCTTTATTGCTTTAGTAAGTAATAAATAGGGAAAAAAATTAGCAGATAACTGTATACTAAGTCATCAGAACTCTCTTCAACATCTACTAAACTAAGCATATTGTTATAATTCAAGATGATGACTTTGGTTACTTAATAGACTCGTTCCTTTATAAACCTTTATCAAAATTATAAATATATCTTAGATTCTAGAACTTTATCTCCTATGCTATATTTATTTTAGTAGGAAATATTTCTATTTATATTTTATTACTTTATGGAAAAATGTAATGTATACTTGGAACAAGTACCTTGTCTATATAAAGGACATGTTCCTGCTTTTTTAACTGCAGAAATTTTATAATATTAAATCCTTTTAAGTTAAGGAACCGTCCCTTTTTGCTCCAGTTTCCACGTTACCACTTAAAACTCATTGCTGTCAAGTCGAAACTGAGACCTAGCTGACCCTCCAGTGGGGTTAGAGGCTGTAAATCTCATAGGAGGAGATTGTCCATCTTTCTCTCAATGAGCATTTGGTGGATTTGGATCACCTCCCTTTGGACAATACTATCCACCTGACCATAAGAACTTGACTGTTGTTGTTGTTGTGTGCTGTTGAGTCCAAACCAACTCAGAGCTGACCCTCCGGTGGGTTTTCAGAGGCAGCTGATAACACTAGACTCCTCAATCTAGAAAGATTGCCCATCTTTCTTCAGTAGAGCAGCTGGTCGATTTGAACCACTTGCCTTTGAGTTGACAGCCCAACTCCTTACCAGTAAGCCACTAGAGCTCCTCAGAGCTCTGAGTTATTGTTATTGATGTTGAAAGATGCCATCAAGTTGAATATGACTCAGCAATCTTTATGAACAACTGATCTGAACCCTGTCCTGTCCTGTACCATCCTAATCCTCTCTGACATACTCAAGCCCATTGCTGTAGTCACTGTGTCAACCTACCTGATGAGAGTCTTCATCTCCTTCGCCATCCCTCCTCCTTCCCATGCATGATGTCCATCTCTAAGGCCCAAGTTCTGCTGGCAATATACCCAAAGTATGTGAGACAAAGACTCTTAATCTTTGCCTCCAAGGAGTACGCTGGCCTTAGTTTCTCCAAGATAAACCTGTTTGTTATTTTGGCAGTTTATGGGATGTTAAGCACTTTTCGGAGGCATCAGTACTTCTTCTGTCATCCTTAGTAATTGTCCAGCTCTCAGATGCATAGCATGAGACTGAGAAAAACCATGGCCTAAATCAGGTCCCCCAACAGAAATCATTGTTCCCCAGTAATTTGGAGAGGGCCCTGACTGTAGACTTTTCCACTGCAATACGTCTCCTTAACTCCTGACTGCTAGTATGAAGTGTGTTCAGTGTGGATCCAAATAAGCTCTACTAAGTAGATGGTAGTACTATTTTGATGGTTGTAGTTGTGTACGATTAAGTAGGAACTTACCTATGGCTGACCCATAGGCTGATCCGGTGGATTTTCAGAGGCAGTTATTTGCACAGGAGGTGATTGCCTATCCTTCTCCCACAGGGCAGCTGGTGGATTTGAACCACGTGCCTTCAGGATTGAAGTGCAGCTTCTTGCCACTAGGCCAAATAAAAGAAAATATTTTAACTAGAAGTCATATACCCCTGTCTACTTACAGAACTATCTATTAAATTATCAATAACAAGGAAAAAGTAGAAAGTTTATTTCTTTTTATAAGTATTGTAACAGTTTTTGTGGCCTAATTTATAGGTAGTTTTGCTGCTAACCAAAGGCGTGTGCCTCTCTGGTGGTTGGAATCCACCAGCAGCTCTGAGGGAGAATGATGGGCAGTTTCTTTTCTATACTATTTGTAGGGAGCTCTGGTGGCCTAGTGGTAAGAAATTGCACTGCAATCCCACAGGCACAAGGTTCCAATCTACTGGCTGACCAACTGCCACACAGGAGAAGGATGAGCAGTCTCCTGCCGTGTGAGTTACTGCCTCTGAACACTCTCTGGAGGGTAACGTCTGGGTCATTTTCTACTCTACAGTATACAACAACAATGTGCTATTTATGTTGCTGTTGTTGTTGTTGTGTGCTGTCGAGTCACTTGTGGCTCATAGTGACCCTATGTACAACAGCCCTAAACTCTGCTCTGTCCTGTGCCAATCGCACTGTCTCTGATACACCCATCCCGATTACCCCAGTCACTGAATCAGTCCACCTTACAGAGGGCCTTCCCCTCCTGCTCTGTCCCTCCACCCTCCTAAGCATGATGTCCTTCTCCAAGGACCTGTCCCTCCTTACAACATGTCCAAAGTATGTCAGATGAAACCTCCTTGCCTCCAAGGAGCCACCCAGTTCAACCCTCTCCAGGATGAATCTGTTTGTTTTCCTAGCAGTCCATGGTACATTCAGTGCTCTTCTCCAGCACCACAGCTCAAAGGCATCAATTCTCCCTCTATCCTCCTTAGTCATTGTCCAACTCTCTGATGCATAACAAGTGATTGCAAAAACCATGGCCTGTATCAAATGCACCTTAGTCTCCAGAGTGACACCATTGCTCTTCAGTACTTTGGAGAGGTCCCTAACAGACTTTCCCATCGCAATACGTCTTTTAATTTCCTGGCTGCTGGTGCCAAGAGTGTTGACCATGAAGCCAAGCAAACTAAAGCTGTGAACAATCTCAATCTCTTCACCATCCATCCTGATGCTGCCAGTTGGTCCAGTGGTGAGAATCTTTGTCTTCTTGACATTGAGCCTCAGTTCATATTGAAGGCTGCAGTCCTTGACCCTCTGCAGCAAGCACTTCAGGTTCTCCTCAGTTTCAGCAAGCAGGGTTGTGTCATCTACATAACGCTGATTGTTGATAGATCTTTCACCAATCCTGATGCCGCATTTCTCCTCATAGAGCCCAGCCTCCCAGATAATCTGTTCTGCATACAGGTTGAAAACCATTTTTTATGTGCTATTTATATTCCTCCAAAAACTTACTGGTAGGTCAGTTATAATTTAGTTGTAACTCAAAAGCAATGAAGTTTATTGGAAATTTTAGATGATAATGATGATAGCAGCGGGAAAGGTATTTGCAGTGTCAAAGAAGACAGAAATTTCTGGTTTTCATGGATCAGATTTTATACTTTTTAAAATTGAAATATCTTTTATTTTACATCGGTTTGCATATAAGATTAGTATACATTGTGTATCATTCATATTCATAGTGTTTTACACATTCTTTCATTAACATTGTGTTTCAAACAGCAATATGCTGTTGTTGATATGTGCCATTGAATCACCTGTGACTCATAATGACCCTGTCTATGCACTATAGTTCTGAACCCTGCTCTATCCTGTGCCTGTCTCACTGTCTCTGACACACGTACCCTTATTATCCCAGTCACTGAGTCAATCAGTCTCACCCTGAGTCTTCCTCTCTTCCGCGTCCCTCCATCTCACTAAGTATGATGTCCTTCTCCAAGGACTAGTCCCTCCTGGCCATGTGCCCAAAGTATGTCAGATGGAAGGAGATTAATCAGAACTGGTTTTCACAAGCACTGTGGCAATGGGACAATTAAAACAGACTTTCAAGGGGGGAAAAAAGAGAGGAATGAACTGGGGGGGATAGAGAAAATAGTGCAAAAGTGAATTAATGGAAATCCAAAATCTCTGTAAATGTTCATTAAATTTAATAAAATAAAACTTTAAAAAATCATTAAAATATTCTTGCCTCTAAGGAGCTACTCAGCTTTACCCTTTTCAGGACAGACCTTTTTGTTCTTTGGGTACTTCATGGTTCAGTACTCTTCTCTAAAACACAGCTCTAAGTCATCAGTTTATCTTCTGTCATCTTTAGTCATTGTCCAACTCTCTGATATGTAGCAAATAATTGTGAAGACCGTGGCTTGGATCAGGCATACATTAATATTCAGACTGACATCATTACTCTTTAACGCTCTGGAGAGGTCCCTGACAACGGACTTCTCCAATGCAATTTGTGTTTTGATTGTTGGTGCAAAGGGTAATGTTTGTGGAGCCGAGCAAACTGAAATTGTTAACAACCTCAATCTCTTCTTCATCTATTATGGTTTTGCCAATTGACCCAGTGATGAGAATCTTTGGTTTCTTGATTGAGCTTTAGTCCATTTTGAAGACTATAGTCCTTGGCCTTCTGCAGCAAATACTTTGGTTCTCAATTTCAGGAAGAAATTTTGTCATTTACATAATGCAAGTTGTTAAGTTCTTACAATATTTTTTTAAACCCCTTTACTTTTTAATTT